ATTATATTACGTATAGGAATTTATACAGTTCAACGTTTCCAATTCTTAGCAGATATGCACACGGGTCTGTGTATAAAAACAGGTCTTATTGAGTTCATCTGACAATATCTGTTCATTTCATCTTTTATTTTATTTTTTCCAAATTTTGAATAAGATGCTGCATATCGGGATCAAAATTAGCGTCTATATATATTGTAAAAAAATAATACTTGTTTGTATTAATTCTTGTTGCCTAAATAGCGCGCGCACACACACACACACGCACTTTCTGTCTGTCTCTCTCTCTCTTTCTCTCACTCACTCACTTAGATATTTATTACTTTAAACATTATTTTTAGTGGATGGAAGTGTTTGAAAAAGTGTGTATTACGTCTACCCGCCTAGACACCCAAGAAAACTTAATAAAGAAAACGTACCAGTTTTCTCAAATGTCCAGGTCGATAGACATAATACGTACTTTTTAAAATTAAAAAGAATGAAAGAAAAAAATCAAAAAAAAAAAAAAAAAAAAAAAAAAGCGTCTATTCCAAACACTGGTATCTGTTAAAAGTAACATGTCAAGTAATAATACTCTCTCTCTATATATATATATTATAATTATTTTTAAAAAAATATGATTCCATCGCTACACAGGAATTACCATGTTTCAAAAGCAGAAGCTAAAACTTCCAATCCAATTATAGAATTAAAATAAATTAAAGTACCTACTCCCAAAAGTCTCTTGAAAAGGAAACAGAACTAGGTAATTTAATTTACTTCTATAATTGAAATGGAAGTTTTTAGCTTCTGTTTTTTAAACATGGTAATTCCTTTGTAGCGATGGGATCATATTTTTTGTTTTAAAAATAATTATAATCTAGGCTCTACTTGTCTATCGAGTACTGTTTTTTTTTTTTAAATATAAACAAAAATACTGAAGAACTTCAGATCATCAATCTAACGGTTCTTTCCTATTTTATCCTATTTTATCTATCTATCTATCTCTCTCTCTCTCTCTCTCTCTCTCTCTCTATATATATATATATATATATATATATATATATATATTATATATATGAATGAAGAAATATAGTTTTAAGGTATGCTATATTTATGGGATAAATTGCCCAATATTCAAGATAGAGCCCATGTAAATATAAAAGTGAACATTGAAGTCAACACGGGTAAATGCGATCATCAGGCCACCTGTCATATATATATATATATATATATATATATATATATATATATATATATATATACATTGGTCACACACAAACTCGCTTTCACGATACTTGACTCTACATTTGAATGATAACTCTAACATTTTTAGGTATTTAAAACAACATGCCTGGCCGCGTACACAATTCCGCTATACTTAAACGTGAAAACAATAAACAAAAAATAAAAATCCTTGAAGCTATATACATAAAACAGTTGAAACCTAACCTGAACAAAATAAACTATGAAATCTCCACAAATATTCTTAAATGCCTATAATTGATAACAGAAGCCATTGGTTTATACCAACGGCTTCCCAAACTTAATACTTCTCGTTTTCACTCTCGCGTGGTCATGTTTGACGTCACGAGCTGCGATGCGATTTTCGCTTCCGCGTCTCGTATACACGAGTTTTCATGCAAAAACAGACTATCATCATTGTTTCGTCCGTGTGTTGTTTGAAATGTAATTGTCATCTTTGATAATGGCTTATGTAAGCCGAAAGCTTAGATTGGATTTAAACATGTATCAATATGATGATTTCCTTTCGTCTTTCAATGATAATGTTATTAAGCTTATCAGACAACATGAAAAGAACTTACTTAAAATAAAAAGACACAAATTGTTTATATTATTTAATGAAACATGCATCAATGAAAAATTGCTGCCTATATATATATATATATATATATATATATATATATATATATATATATATAAATGACCACTAACATTATCTCTCTCTCTCTCTCTCTCTCTCTCTATATATATATATATATATATATATATATATATATATATATATATATATATATATATGTATATATATATATATATATATATATATGTGTGTGTGTGTGTGTGTGTGTGTGTGTGTGTGTGTGTCTTTGGATTTTAAAATCTTATCCCATTTCAACGTGTGGCGCATGCAAATTGTTTTTCACATGGTTAATTACATATGGATAATTATATGGATATTGGAATATATGACTGTTTATATCTGGTATATTTATTTTCACATTTACATTTACACACATAATAATAACAATAATATATACACACACACACACACACACACATATATATATATATATATATATATATAGACATAGATAGATCGATAGATAGATAGATATAGGGTATGGCAGAGAGGGAGACAAAAAGAGAACCAATAGAAAGAGATTCTAATAACTATTTATTCTTTCGTCTTATCGTACGTGTAGGTATGCGATGTATATATGTAAGCACTGCTGTTTTATTTAATTCAACATATGTGGATTTAGTTTATATTTCTTTCTAAGAAAATATGTTTTACTTGAAATATAACAACGTTATTTCATATATATATATATATATATATATATATATATATATATATATATATATATATATATATATATATATATATATTGTCTTCCCTCATCAGATAGTTGGGCTGAATTCTTTTACCATAAATTGACAGCTGCCCTTGCAGCGCGTCTTCGCATTCCACACCATCGATATTGTCCAAGAGAAGGGCAGAGTTTCTCATTCTAATTTTGATTGGTACCAATGCCGTAGTCGTAGTTGCCAAGACGGGAATGGATGCAGTTTTGGACTCAGATTTTATTCTTCGGCATCACTTCCTCAGCCTTTACCACAACTGGGTCTGTTTGCAAGTCCTCAGCCTTTTATATATATATATATATATATATATATATATATATATATATATATAGAGAGAGAGAGAGAGAGAGAAAGATAGCCAGCTAGATGTGTGTGTGAGAGTGTGTGTCTGTATTTGATATCAGTGGCTCGTAATGAAAAGTCATAATGCCGAGTTAGAATTGCAGTCGTTACATTCATTGATGCAGTGCAAATAGCCTTACGAAAGATGTGAATCAATCTCTTTCTCTCTCACTGGCTATGGATTAAATACGATACCATCTTTATTCTTGGTTCGCATGCAGTCTAGGAGTTGAACAACTCTGAATTCAAAACCTAAGGAGTGTCGTCTGGAGACCTTGTGGCAGCCTAGGTGCACCAGTCCTCTGTATTCGCTTCTTCCGAAAAGTGTGGTTGATCTTGCTCAAGCCTTTACCACTATAATCAAATCATATGTGTGGTAATCTCGCTGCTCGGTTCTAAAAACTCAGCTGTCAGAACCCTCATAACCAGAAAGTCCATTTATATACACGCACAACACATCTTTTCGTTATCCATCTGATGAAGCCATTAGAGGCGAAATGCATTATCGGATATTATTTTCGAAACATACTTTCATAAACGTTTTTCCAAATGTCAATAATTTATAACTCTGTCAGGATTACATACCCAAATTTATTGCATACTGTCGACATGGAGAACACATGAATAAAAACAATTTCTTTCATTTATTTTCTACACATTCTGAAATATTTTCCATCTTAAAACTCGGACTCTTAAGGCGGAGAATATAAAATGTTAAATGAATTTTTTTAAAAGTCACTCATTTTCTTTCTCTTTTTAGTCTGGAGCAACACCAGCTTTGGGAAAATAATATAAGATTTAATTATTTTAAACACACACAGCACATCTTTTTGTTATCCATCTGATGAAGCCATTAGAGGTGAAATGCATTATTGGAAATTATTTTCGAAACATACTTTCATGAACGTTTTTTCAAATGCCAGTAACTTATAACTGTCGGGTTTAGATACTTAAATTTATTACACACACACACACACACACACACACACACACACACACACACACACACACACACATATATATATCCAGTGAGGATCGCAGTTACTAGCAACATTTAAAAATGAACTTCCTTCATTTACAATGTTTTTTTCCAGCTTGCTTACATTCCAGAACATGTCTATATGTTCAGAAATATTATGTATACAAAAGCTACGTTTGACTGTATTTTTTCTTTTTACTACTTAACAAACAATCTTTCTCTATCTAAATTCACTGACATTAGAGTTAACAGAAAATGTCGAGGAAAAGCATGAAGGTAAAATGGATGTCGACATTCCCTCCAATCGATCAGCTGAAATAAAAGCAAATCAACTAAGCAGACGTTAAAAGCGCTTGGCTAAAATATGAACTGACGTTTATTACGGAGAAAAATGTCTCCAGGTTTCGAAGTACATTTTTGTTTGGCTTTGCTTTCGCTTTGAAACGATGAGAACATTTTAAAGCCATAAATGACGAAGAAAGAGTGTGAAAATAAATTCCTGGTAAAAGGTTGTAAACTTCCTAAATATTGAAGGAGCACGGGAAAAGCAGACGACATTGCAATGGCGTCAATAAATGTTTATTCATTATAAAAATTCAAAGAAATTGTGCTAACAATAATATATTGTGCTTACATAATTTTTTTTTTTAGCTCAGTGGTAGAAACTCCGACTAATGCCAAATCGGTCGGGTTTCGATCCCGGCTCGAAGCGATGGGATGTCTAGTTACACTGATGAGCTGTGATACAGTGAAACAGTCTGTCTGTAGATGGCATTAAAATAATTCTATATAATAATAATAAGATAGTTTTAAGGTATGCTATATTTATAGGATAAAGTGCTGAATATCAGAGATAGAGCGTATGTAAATATAAATATAAAAGTGAACATTGAAGTCAACACACAGAGGCGACAAACTGTTTCAGGCCTGATGATTGAGTTTAGCATGAAACAGTCTGCCGCCTCTGAGTGTTGACTTCTATGTTCACTTTTATAATAATAATAATAATCTTTCTCAAACATTTTTGGGTGAAAGGACGAGCAAAGAAAGTAATTATCGTAACGATGTTGTTAAAACATATGGAAAAACTTTCTTGCGGCCAAATCACGTTGAAACACCGGTTCCCGTACGGTCACCGAAGTTAAGCAACGTCGAACCTGGTCAGTACCTAGATGGGTGGCCACTTGGGAATAATGACTCAGAATTGTTGAACGGATATCCTAGTTCTAATTCCTGTTGGGTTCGTTATATTCATTGAAGTTCAAATACCCTTGGGAAAAGGTACGAATCCAACTCCATCTATGGGTTAATTAGTAAAAACTTATATCACCAAATCATTATTATCTCAAAAAATTCTCACACCCTAAAACTATTTTCTGGCTGCAGAAGGTTTATAGGCCGTAGAAATCGAATCACTGAAATACTGATCAGCTACACAACCATGTCTTTATGATTTATTTCTTAGGAATATACAGCGTGCGATGGATAAATTGTCGTCTAAATTACGCAAAAATGAAAATAATGCTGACATCTCATTTTAACAGATACATTTACCAAAATCACACAAAAATATCTTGAAATACTAAAGAGTAAATTTATTTAAGAAAATCGCCATTGGCTTCAACCACGGCCTACATGCGACTTCGGAATTTCCTGCATCTCTTCTGGACGGCTTTCTTGTTTAAGTTAGCGAATGCTGCAATAATCTTTGGCTTCAGTTCATTGTTGGTGTTAGAAGGAGTTTTGTTGGTCTCCCACACAACTGTGCCACACACATAATAATCAAGGGGGTTGCAGTCTGGGGAGTTCGGCGGTCAGATGTAAAGAGTGACGTGGTCTCAGAAATTGTCTGACAGCCATGACTGGGTTCTCCTGCTTGTGTGACATGGTGCAGAGTCCTGTTGCCAGACATAGAGTCTTCCAGCGGCCAACCTCTTGACTCAGGGCAGCGCTAACTCCTCAGGGCACTTGATGTAGACCTCAGTTTTGAGTCTGAGGTCCCGTGGGAAAATGAATGGAGGCATAACGTCGCCATCACTAGTGATCACTCAAAACACCATTCGTCCAACTCTTTCCAAATCCTCTGAACTGCCTTCAGATTGGCACCCAAACACGGTGAAATATTCGTATTGGAGCTTCCGGCGCGAATGCCAAGCTGTACAGCATCCTGTTTCTAAATTTCTGGTGGAGTGATTTGATATAGTGCTCTTTTTCCCACAGACAGTTTTCAAATGATTCTACTATACTGTGTAGTTGATACAATCAAAAACAAACAACGCGCATGCGCGAAATTAAAAATATAAAATGGTGGCAATTTACTCATCGTATTCTGTAAATGTATAGAAACTACCAAGTGAGGGATCATTTTATATATTGATTGTAATATAGAATTGATCCCTCACTTTATATTCATATTTCTTTATCAAATTCTCATTAGGTATGATACACTCTTTTCCCCCCCTTTTATGGGCCGCATTACTAAATCATTATCTAAAAAAATATCTTAAAATTTAAAACTATTTTTAGTCTTTAAATAACCTACAAAGGGTTAATAGACCGTAGAAAACGAATCAATCAATCAATCAACTGAAAACCTGCAGCATTCCGATTATGATTTGGAAATGGGGTCATTACGAAAAGCTTATTTGCTCGGAACAGTAAGGAGATCTAGAAATCTGTTGGACGCAGCCTGTCGATAAAAAAGAAGAAATGATCGTTTTATTTACTTAATTTATTTAAGTCATGAGGAGTGATTTGAAAATAAATCTTACTCGTAACCAATGTCATAAGATAATAATAATAATAATAATAATAATAATAATAATAATAATTGATATGAACATCATCCAGACCCGGTTACGGTGGTTGGACCTGAAACAATTTTATTGGACTTTTATGGATGTCAAAAGGAGAAAGCTTCTTACTTGTCACAGCATGCTTCATCGTAAGGCTGGTGTAAATCGTCTCTGTGTCTATCGTCAAATTCGAAGGAAGCAGACGATTAGTAGAAGTCGAACTCTATTACAAAACCCCAAACAATCAGTCTTCAATGATGCCTGAAAACTACAGAAGACTGGAAAATGAAAGAAATATGAAACTTTATTCAGTAATAAAGGAAGCCAATAAATTCCAAAGAGAATTTCAAGAAGGTGAAGAAGTGCAAATAAATCAAAATATTCCTATTGCAGCGGCAAAGAACTTAAAAAGAAAGCAAATGCAATGTACCATGGTCAATACTATGTCCGTAGCAAACAAGCTAATGTAGACAAACCCCGTATCAATTAGTGATTACGTAGTGCACGGTTAAAAGCTAAAACCGAAGGTTTTATTCTTACTTCACAGGACCAATGCTAGCTAATTAGAAATTACCAAACACTCATAGTGTAAAACTGTGTTGACTCCAAATTCAGATTGTATGATAAATATCCAGAAACAACTGACCATCTTGTATCAGGTTACACAGTTTTAGCACCAATTGAATATAAAACTCGGCCTGATAGAGTGGGCCAATATCTGCACTGGAAAATATGCAAATACAAATACAGGAAGGAAACTGCAAGAAACTGGTATGAACATCACCCAGACTCGGTTACAGAGATAGGACATGTGACAATTTTAAGGAACTTTACAACAAAGATAGAACAATCAAAGCTAATCGCTCATACATCGTGATCAAAGAGTACAAAAGTAGAATGTGCTTTTTTATTGGCACGGCAGTTCGTGCAGACTGTAATGTGTCTTTGACGATCTTCAAAAAGCTATCAAAATACAAGGATCTTGAAGTGGAAGTCCGAAAAATGTGGCACATGAGGACATTAATAATTCCAATCGTAGTTGGAGCTCTCGGACTTATTGGAAAAGATTCCAATAGACTCATTGAAAGAATTCCTGGTAGCCTATGCCTTAATTAGAAAAACAAAAAAAATGTTCTCACGAGTATAGCCCACGCCTTACGGAGGGCTTTATCTATGTAAAATATGTGTTGTTTTTTTTCCAAAAATGCTCATTGGAAAATGTCATGATGCCATTTATGACCTTAGGTCTCTGGTCGGGACCCGGGAAGAAATGAGTATACACCAGAAATCAAAGGAAATAAAATAATAATAATCTTCAAAAATCTTTCAAAATTAAAGGATGTTGAAATCGAAATCTCAAAAATGTGGCACATGAGGACATCACTAATTCCAGTTGTAGTTGGAGCACTCGGATTGACTGGAAAAGGTTCCGATAGATTCATTGAAATGATTCCTAGTAGCCCATGCCTTAAAGAAATAGAAAAAATTGTACTCACAAGTACAGCTCACCCATTATGATCTTATTTTTTTTTACAAAAATGACCAGCGGAAAAATTATTATTATTATTATCATTATTTGTATGTCCCGGATACATTAGTACAAACACGCACCAAATAATGTGGAGTTACCATACTGTGGAATTTCCGAATCCTCAGAGACAGGAAAATTGATGCAAATAGATCAGACTAAATCATAAATACTTCAAACTGAAAGGGAAATAAAAGCAAACAGATCTGATACTATCATAAAAGACAATAAATTCAGGACGTGTATACTTATTGACATAGCAGTACCATCTGAGAGAAACACTTCCATAAAAATGATTGAGAAATTGTCCAAATATAAGGACCTGGAGATCGAGATTAACAGGATGTGGGGAATGAAGACTGAGACTGTAATCGGAGCTCTGGGTCTCGTGAAAAACGGAATGGACAGTTTTACTAACAATGTCCCAGGTAACATTAACATAAAAGTTGCCCAGAAGATCACCCTACTAGGAACATCCCATATACTAAGAAAATTGCTATCAATTAAATAACAATTCTACTATAGGGCCTAAGGACCATAGTTTGGACCCGGCTCTACAGGATACAAAGCAGGAAACATAACATACACAAATAATAATAATAATAATTTATTATTATTATTATTATTATTATTATTATTATTATTATTATTATTATTATTTGTGTATGTAATAATAATGTGTGCGATCTTAGGGTTTTTTTTTTTTTTTTTACAAAAATGATCAGTGGAAAATGTCCGGAAGCCATTTCTGACTTTAGGTTTCTGGTTGGGTTACGGAAGTAAATGTGTATACAACTGAAATCAATAATAATAATAATAATAATAATAATAATACAATTGGGCAGAATATTAATTGGAAGATATGTCAGTATTAGAGTGTATAACATGTCAAAAAATGGTATAAATAGTCATAGAAAGTGGTAACTATTCTTTGGGACTTTAAATAGGTCATTGAAATTAAAAAGAAAATAAGTCTTTTCAAAGATATGATAATGCCATCAGATAAACATATATCTATTAAATAAGTAAAGTAAGTATTAAGATTTTGGAATTGATAAAAAATAATCAGGAAATTTGAATTTTTATTCGTGTTATGATAATTTTGACAAATTGACAGACAATGTGAAATGAAATATGTCGACATTGTGAAAAAAAATCTGTTTCCTTATCAACCGAAAGAGGTAATAAAATTTAAAAAATAAAAATAAAAAGCTCAAATATTTTTGAAACCTTACGACAGAATATGAAATTGTTTGCATAAAACATGTTTATGTTTATTAATTTTGCCCCATGTGCATATTGACATTAAATTTAGTAAACACGTAAACATACAGGGTGTCCTTAAAGTTCGTGTGCACTTTAAAAAAATTATAATTTGCGATAGAAATAATCTGTAAAACATGTAATAAAGTTTAATGTACCTAGTTTTAAGTATAGCTAAAACAACTAATGTGATTTCAGGCATTACTGTAAATCAGTTGGCAAAGGTTTTCCGTGAACTGCAAAATCTTATTACCCTTTGTATTGCTAATGATGGAGGATATGTGGAAACTTAAATAAAAATTCAATAAAACCTTAAAAAATATAGATTTACTTCTTTCTAATCCTTTTTACAAATTATTTTTTATCGCAAATACAAATAAAATTATAATAATAAGTGCACACCCTGTATATACGAACAATGCTCATGACTGCATTGAAAAAAATGTTTCGTATTTGACTGACTATATTAACAGGGGAGAATGCACAATCATTTCAAGATGGAAGCGTTCAATATTAGCAACAGGCTCAATTTTAAAAAGTCTTTCTTAAGTACACTATTTACATTATTCGGACTATTGTTCTCATCTTTGTCGCTATATTTATTACA